AGTTGGAAGGCAAGAATGAGATAAACACAGAACACTGGTGGATTATAAAAACACTACAGAAATGTGCACTGTTTTGGCAAGGATTTCCCACCACTGCTCCCCAGCGAGGCAGAGGCAGAGCTGAAAACTGACAGCACACAGTACCTCACCTACTACGCCCTCATCACCCCGAGACCCACCACAGCCAGCTACAAATGCTTGCTCAGTTATTCCCAGAAAACTGAACCCACAGAAACTTTTATAATTGTGCTATTAACCTTTACAGCTTTTTCAAAGAGAAAGGCTCATGAGTCACATTGACTCTACAACTCTCGACCATCTGAATCTTCTCAAAGATGATGGTTGAAGAAGTTTTTAATTCTTGGCTCTGCCTGATAAACCCCAATTTTAAAACCTGCATTTTTAAGTGGTGATTTATCTCACTCATCTTAAAGTTATATTGGCTTCTGGACACATCGTCTGCATAATCACCTTATATTTACTATGGCCAAAACCCCCACCACTCTTGGGCTGCCACCCTTAGAAAACAACAACCGGGGCCTGGGGATATAGCTCAGCGGCACAGCACTTGCCTGGCAAGTGCAAGGTTGTGAGTTCGATTCCCGGTACAAAAAAAAAGAAAACAACAGCCAAACAATGCCCCTATGAGCTGCCCATTTTGGTTCAGTGAACTGAGAGTCTCTCATTCTCAAAAAGAATTTTTAAAAATCATGAGATTACTATCAGTGATAGAAGATCTCAGATGTCTACTAGCCCTGCCTTTGTGCTTTATAGCTTTATATACTGGGTATGCAACTTGCCCAGTGGTGCTGTTAGGACTAGAATTCCTGGATTGTGAACTGAACAAACAAACAGCACTAAAAGAAGCTCAGAGTCTGATATCCTGAGTTATAAATCTGGGTTTAACACTCTTCCTCCATTAAAGTTCCTCATCTGAATGATGTGAACAACAGTGACCATCTTACAGGTTACAATTAAATGAGGTAATGCATGTGAAGATTTTTGTAAAAGGGAATAGGGAAGTAGGAGACACTCAGTGAAAAGTTTTTTTTTTAATCAATCACTCCTAAACTGGACCATTTCCAGCAGTATCATTTTTCTCTTCCCTTTCTGTGTGCAGCACAACTCTCCCCACTGTCTCCACTGTGAGGCCCTAGTCACCCTCAAAACAAGTTGTAACTGATTTCTCTTCTCATTTTCCAACCCGCATCTATGCACACACTGCAGCCCTACCAATAAACTTTCTTCCCTATTCAAAAGGCCAGAGTACAGTTTCTATCACCTATTGGGAAGGCAGCAGAATCTCCCTGCTGCTGCTTAGGACCGAATACCTCAGCCTGAATCTGCGAACATTTTCAAGCTGGGGCCCCCTGGGCTGCACTCGGAGCACCTTGTTCCCCCAGGCTGGCTTCCTGGGCTTGGCGTCAGTCATGAGGTCAAGTTATGGCATCTCACCTCTTCCTGATGCCCACTCCAAATTCTCTTGGGAGTTGTTCTCTGAGAGCCAAATGGATAAATTATATCCTCTACTGCATAATGGTTCTTTAACTGTTCCACTCATAAACATGGAAGTTCTGCTTCTCTGAGCATACTATAATACTGGACCAGGTTTTAGTAAGCCCATTTAGGGCTGGCGCTGGAGCTCCTTGTTTCCAGGCTTGCCCTGGGTTTGATCCCCAGCACCACCAACAGTGCCCCCCACCACAAAAGAATCAAAACCAATTCTAATGAACAGTTCTTCTGTCAAAAACTGTGCTGAATAAAAATAGAAAGAATTCAGAAGAATCTCAACATTCAAAAAGCCAGATTATAAAAAAAGATTTCCTAAAGTGCAGATTCACTTGCTTAATCATTTAAGCAATATCTCAAATATGGTCGATTGTCAGGTAAGATGATCAGAAGTCGAAGAGTACTGTTATGTACTGTACAATAGCACTACTTCTGTGAAATAATATACCACCTATCTACCACATGTAGCTTATTAAAAGCAAATGCCAGTGAACTATATCAGTGACTCCTTAAATTAAAAGAAATCACAATTGCCTTGGGAAATATCTTCTCATATTAGAGAACGGCTTTTTGTCCTTGTGGACACGAGTGAGGAATTTCCTGATTCAGAATAAAGGCAAACACTTTCAAGGCTGCTTTTATCCTGTTCCAAGGCTGAAGATGAGAAGCTGTTCCTCCTACCTCACTGTTTACAACACTGATATCCGGCTTTATAGCCACGGTTTTAAAGATAGCTACGGTATTAGCCAGAATTACCTGTTAGGGGGTGCCAGGCTATAAAAGCGTGAAATGTATGCATGGTTTCCTTTAAACAAGATCCTAAGGCTTCCTATTTCCCAAAACTGGGGCATTATTTCTAATATCTGGACTGTTTGGTGGACATGGCTCATGAAAACTAAAACAATAATAAGTAAAACAGACTGCGTTGCTGAGTCAACTGGCTGATTCTAACAGAATGACAATGTGACACTTTGCATAAACAGTGACTAAGAGCAGTAGATCATCTACCATGGTGATATTATTTCCTACTTAATTTCACATCTCATACCTCATCATCCCCTACTTAATTTCACATCTTGTATTGTATTTTGTAAAGTTTCTAGGGAAAAGAAAAAAATAAGCTTTTGCTTGAACCACACACAAGCCTTCCATCTAAGTATTTACGTAGTAAGAACTTGTGGCAGGTGGGACATTTCTTGTTTTGTAGTATTACAGTCATAATTCTCTCCAGGATAAGGTTTATTTAAGGCCCTCTGAAGGAAGGAGTTAGTATAACTAGATTAATACCTCATGCCCAACTCCGAAAAAGCTAATAGGAAGTCTACATTTCACCTGGAGTTGAAAATGTGTGCTAAATGATTTCTCACTTGAGCAGTAATACATTGAAAATTCAGTTCATTAGATTCTAGTGTTTTCATTCTTGTAATTCCCAAACCTACTAAGAAAGCAGTTGTACAGGTTTCTTCCTCTGAAATCACGCCGACTTTGTGCCACAGGTCTTTCTGAGGATACATGGAGATTGCATTTCAATGGTGAACAGAACAGAAGATGGAACCAGTTCCTTAAAAAAAGAAACCACCTATGTTGAAATCATGAATTTTTCCTTGAGATCATCACAAGCTGAGTTTCCTTAATGTTTTGATGAGAAGCGAATTAATAAAGTGATAAAATGCTACACATCGCTAAATGTTATCTGAATGAAACTATTAACTGAAATTCAGTAAGATTAGTTTTAAATATAATTTTTCTGCAAGGAGTGAGTTTGGTTATCCTAACTTACAGTTTTTCAGATCAACCTATATTCTTCCTGGGGCCATTATATTCATGTTATCTGAACCAAACTTTCCAAATAAAAAACAAACAAAAGAAAATCACAAAATACGTAAATCTGATTTGGGCTTCATGGACAAGCATTTTATTCATATGAATTAAATGCATTTTTCTAGGCTATAAGTAGTGTGGGATGGCAAACAACCTGTAGGGCTCACGTGACAACTGTGAAAATTCATACACTCTGCCTTTAAGTTAGGTTGGCCCCACTAAAATGTTTCTTTTGGGAGCTCTTAATATCTCCTGTCTGGCCGCCTACAAACTCCATTCCTCAACCATGGAAGTAAATATGTCTAAAATTGGTGCTCGTTTTGGTAAAGCAAGCGATGACATCACTCTGAGCTCCGGTTTGCGGGACACAGCGCGGCGGGCGCACTGCGCTTTGTGGGTAGTTAGGTCCCCACGTGCCGCCTCGCGTGCCCACGCGTCACTGGTTTGGAGCCAAGGTTTGTGTTCAAAGGTCTCTCACTATTTACACACAGGGATTCTCCAATATCAGCTTTGTCAAACACAGGACAGAAAAAGGAACTACATCTCTGCCCTACACAAGGAGAAACTAAACAGGGCACAGCACTGTCCGTGTCTTTAATGTCGCTGAACTCTGCTTCTACAGTAGTTAAAACAATACCTTTGAGGTTATGCATATGTTATTGCAAACTGATACAACAACGGTGTGACGGGTTTTGAAAACGACCTTCCCATGTTTCAGAGATTGTCCACAACTGTACAATAAGTTTCCAAGTCCAACACACAATCGCTGACAGCTGTTACTGTGATTGGGTTGCTCCTTCTGCAACATCTGTCAAGCTCTGCTGCCTGCGTCCTAAGTCAGCACCCGTTCTTCAGCAATTAGTAAACGGTGCTCACTCACAGAACTTTAGAGCTTTAACCGCCCCAGAAGAAAAACCTCAAAAAAATATACCATATGAGAGAGTGGGTAGGGAGCACCCAAGCACCAAGCGCGGTCTGCTCCCCTGTGGTGTGCTGGGGTGAGGAGGTGGGGAGTGGGGAGCCCCTTATCTCCTACCCCCAGCATCCCCTTACCCAGTGCAGATGAGGGCCAGAGGGAGTCGCGGGCCGCGAGCCACCGACTGCGGCTCCTGGAGCGCGTCCCGGAGGAGCGCGTCCCGGAGGGGCGGGCGCGCCGCTGCTCCCAGCGCTGGGCTGCCTCTCCAGCCCTCAGCCAGAGCCAGCGCGAAGGTTAGCACCCTCGGCGCTGAGACTTGCAGCTGGCGCGGTGCTTGCGGTGCCTGCCCGGGTCGCGGGTAGGGGACTTTTGCAGACTGCAGTTCGCCCGCCTTAACGCAGTGCAAGATGTATTAGAAATAACGTGAAAACGCACGGCGACGGGCCACACGCACCCAGGACAAACTTCTGTCTGTGCTCAGGCTCTGCAGAGGAGCCGGCTGTCCTCAGCTCCGCCCCGACAGGACTGAGAGCGGTGCTGGGGTCCGTCCGCGCGCACCACGCGTGCACAGCCAGGGCCCCTTTGCCCTTGGACCGCGCTCAGCGGGCCCCGAGCGCGACCCACCCGGACAGAGGCGGAGGAGCGGCCTCCTCCGCGAGGCTCCGAGGGGCCCTACGCTCCCCGCGAGCGCCGCCACCGCTTGCCCTCTGCACTTCCAGCCCGCCGCGACCCTGCGCGCCCGGGAGTGACCTACCAAGAGCGGCGACCAGCACACCGACAGCACGCACATGATGCCCATGAGCTGCAGGGCCGTCTCGGTGGTGATGCGGCCCCACTGGGCGCTGGACTGCGCCGCCGCAGCCTTGGCCCGGCAGCGGGACACCAGGGCCTTGATGGTGGCCAGGTTGCAGGCGAAGGTCACGGCCAGCGCCAGGAGCCCCAGGAAGGCGAAGGTGGAGGCGAAGAAGAGGTTGCCCCAGTTGTGCGCGGAGCTGGTCCCGTTGCCCCCCCGCGCGGTGCTGATGAAGCACCAGGTCCCGGGCCACTGCACCGTGTACTGGCCCACGCCCAGCACCGGCAGCAGGGCGAAGGCGAGCACGGCCAGCCACACGCCGAGCAGCACGGCGCGCGTGGCGCGCGTCTTCATGTGGCTCGCGTACCAGTGCGGCGCGCGGATGGCCAGCGCGCGCTCGACGGCCATGGCGCTGGCGATGAGCAGCGAGGACAGCCCGAAGACCGTCATGGTGAGGCCGAAGAAGGTGCACAGCCGGCCCGACGGGTCGTGCTGCTCCCAGCGCTGCTGCGACAGGTACACGACGATGACCACCGGGCTGGTGAGCAGCTGCCCGACCAGGTCGGTGAGCGCCAGCCAGCCGATGCACAGCAGGAAGGACTTCTTGCGCTTGCTCTCCCGGCGCCGGTAGCTCCGCGACACGAGCAGCATGGCCAGCGCGTTGCCCACGAAGCCCGTGAGCATCATGGTGATGGGGAAGGCCACCGACACCGACCCGCAGTCCTCGCCCGGCCCCGGCGCGCGGCTCAGGTTGCTCCGCGCCTCGGCGGAGCGCTCGGGCGCCCACATGCCCGGGTCCGAGTGGTTGAGGCGGGTGCAGAAGGGGGCGCCCCCGCCGTCGCCCCGGCTCGTCTTCATGTCGGCTTCGAGGCGAGGACGCGTCGGGGCCCGGAGCGCAGCGGCAGGGAGAGCTGGCACGCAGGGCGCGGGCGGTGGCCCAGGGC